ATCACATTTGGGGGGGCCTCAGGGCTACTTTTCCAGCCAGGGGAATGGGGCATTTGAAGCTCCTGAAAGTTTCCAACCTGCTGGGCAGAGTGCACCCATTCAATTTTGTACACCTGTCCTTTCTCCTAAGCAGCAAGTTCTGTGCAATCCTTGCCCCTTTTGCAGGCCTCTTGCTGTTAGGAAGTCTCTCAGACTGCCCACCTTTCTTTTGTCCCAGAGTGGCCAATTGTGGATACATGGTTTCCACAAGCAACTGGAATCTCAGTCTCTCCAAGTATTCTTCCTGTCTTAGCTTTCCAACACTCTAATCTCTGGAGCACCATGTAATGTAGGTTCCTGCTCCCAGAGCACATCTCCAGGGCTGGGTGTTCAGCAGTCCTAGGCCTCCATCCCCTCCTTGCTCCAATTCTCTTCCTCCCTCCAGTGAGCTGGGTGGGGGAAGGGCTTGGGTCCTTCCAGATCATGGCTTTGGTACTGTACCCTTTTCCTTGAGGTCTGCTGTTTTCCCCAAATGTGGGCAGTCTGCTGCAGCCTTCTTCCCTGTTCCTCTTTCAGGATTAGATGTATTTGCTGTATTTTCATATTATATGTGGTTTGGGGAGGAGGTTTCTGTCTCACCTCTCATGCTCTCATCTTTAATCCCTCCAAGCCTGAGCTAGATATTATTATAATTCTCATTTTATAAATGAGGAAAATTGAGGTATAGTGGAATTAAGTTAATTGCTGGGACTTGAGTTAGTGCCTGAGTCAGTGACACTCTGTCACCCATCCATCTGCTGTCTCTCTAGGTCACAACTTATATAACATGTATATAATGGTTTATACTGCCATTAAAATAACACTGTTAATGTTCATATTTAAAATATAAATTATTTTCCAAATTAATTGTCATTGGAAAACTGGCAGGTTGCTAAATAACAAGACAATCTTGGGGGAAAAAATCTAAGTGTAGATTTTTAAAGTGTAGAATCTAAGTGTAAAAGATTAAAAAGATGTGGCAAAGGATTAGTGATTTTTCTTTAGAGGTGTGGATTCCAGGAGTCAACTTGTTGATCATACTGTAGATATAATAATTTGCCAAGTACTGGTAAGTTCTGGGCAAGAGCCAGGTAAATTCATATTTACTCCTATAAAAGAGGTCTTTCATAAGAAAAACTGAATTTTCTCCAAACTTCCCTAAAATTGGATGAGTAGAGCATACTTCCTTCCAAAATTTTCCTAAGTGTTTAAAAATTGAAAACTATGTTTTCATAAAGCTTTGCGAAACTTTTCTCATGACTGGAACTGGGTTTGTCAGCTATAATAACTGAGATAAAGATGTTTTCCCTAAAAAATTAGATGCTTATTATTTAAAATTATCTTAAAAATTATAAGCTCTCAGGCATTTCCTGGTCATCTTTGCCTTCTTAGAACTTGAATGTATTTGTGACTCTTTGCTCTCATTGTCATTCCTTTGTATCTCTTTCTTTCTTCTTTGGTCATTTTGTTCTTCGTCTTCTGTTGCTCCTGAGAGCACTTTGAGGGGCGGACCAGAATCAAGGTGGTTCTTTCTTCAGGTTGCCATAAGCAAAATGAGCTGAGCAGAGTGATGTGGGCCAGAATGATCTTGAGAGTCTTGAGAAGGGGATCGCTGAGTCAGAAGGTGCTGTCAGTGAGTGAAGCTAAAATGAATGAGTGCGTGACCCTCAATGAACTTAACCTTAAATATAATACATGCCCTCAAAAAAACCAAGACAGCAAAAATGGAGTTGACATTAAATCAGATGTTTAGTCTGCACTTATGTAAGGCATCCATAAGGAGCCTTGAAAGAAGGAGCATTACACTCACCACCGTGGTGCTAACATCGTGAAGTCAGAAGGCAGTGTCATGCCAACACTTCTCATTTTAATCACAGTTTGAAATATTTCAGAGCACACCCAGAAAGGGAGAGTGTCTATCTACGCCTGGTGTTTCGTGTGGTTAACAGCCCTCTGACAGAGCCTTAGACAGTGCAGGTGGTTTCTCTTCTTATGGGCATGATTCTAAATACGGCATATGCTTTCCAGAGGCTGTGGTTGAAAGAAGAGTAATGATGGCTATGTGTGTAATTACACATATGATGACAAAGCTCATAAGAAAAATATCCTTTGTGAATCTCTTGGAAGTTTTTAGTTAGGAGGGACCCCCCAGGAGGAAGACATGTAAAGGTTTAGAAATCATGCAATTATTTCCTTTCATCTTCATTTGGTTGCCTTTATACAAGATGACATGATCTTTTGGAAGGCAAGGCAAACATCTAGACCCATATATCTTTGTTTATTATTATAAGAAATGCACTGGCAAAGACTTTTGTTTTGTAATCAGACCCTCATACCCATAAGTATTCCTACTGATGAACTTTCTGACCCTTTGTACTGAGTAGAATGACTCACAGTAGTGAAAACCACAGGTGAGGGGTGCTGTTGTTTATATGGTGACCTGTACAAAAGGAAAGGTCTATGAGTGCATGTATCTTGGTGACTAAGCTACTTAAATAGAACTGAAACAAGTAAAAGAAAGGTGACCTGAGATACCTTTGTTGTAAAGATTGGAATCTGCAAGGTTGGGGCAAATTCTCCCCACAATAAGGAAGACTGGTTAACGTGGTGAAATGAACACAGCATCAAGTTCCCCCTCCCAGATTCTCTTACAGTGACACACAGACCACGTTAGAAAGGAAACATCCACATTAGCCTGCATATCAGGAATGGGTAACAGGTACATGCAAAAAACTGGTGAATTTCTGATAGCTGTAATGGGAATAGGTGAGGGTATCAGAAGCTATTAAAATGGACACAGCCTGCTCTCTTGAGAATAAGACCATAAGTCAGCAGTGCTAAGACACTAAAATTCTTCCATGACATGAAAGGCAACACCAAGCTGTGAGGCAGTTTCCAGCTTCACTCCCAAATCAAGCATAGAAATAGAGCAGAGAGTCTGGCCCTGGGGAGGAGAATTTGAAGCTCTCATCTATAACAGGTAGTTAGAAATATGAGTAGGAAGGTAGACAGAAGTTTGAGCTAAAGATCAAAATTTCAGTACGTAGGTGATATTTCTAACCATGAATGAGATGGCTGGATGAGATCATTGAGGGACAGTATAGATAAGAGAGAGATGCTCCAGTATTCTGAGGCTGGGAGAGAGCTGGAGGAAAGAAAGAACCAACAGAGATGAAGGAGGAGTGAGCAGGAAATTCCTGAGCTGTTTCAGCTATTCCAGAGACGCTTCTTCATCAAAACAGTAGACTGAACCCTTTCCTTTCCTTTCTTCCTAAGATTTTATTGATCTGACACTAAATGTATATGAATAAGAATATATCTGTGTACGTGTTGAAACCAATCTAAGGGCCATCACTTGGACAAACATTTGGAAAGCAGAAGGTAGCTAACGTTCTCATTCACGGATAATGCAGGGCGGAGGAACAGCGCTGCAACCTGCCGTTCGCACGCGCCAGCTGTCGGCGGCACTGGGAGGTGATCCCCGTGAATAAAGGCTCCACGCTCTGAGTCCGCAGAGACGGAGAGCAGGGATGGGCTGTGGGTTGTCAGTCAGGGTGGTCAATGGGAGGCTTGTGTGTAGAACAGGTGGACTGAGCAGCTTCAGCAGCAGCTGGAGGCCCACGAAATGCTCTGAATAGAGAGGAAGATCTGCCTGGGAAGGGCTCTTGGTATGAGTGCTGAATCCAGAGAGGGAGGCAGGGTAAATTACGGGGAGAATCTTGCACCCTCACAGGGGATGGGACGGGTGGGGAACAATAGCTCTCATTGAAATATACTGATGTATTATGTCCTCAGAGTAGAGTCTCTCATTACTTCTGTCATTGTGGGGTGCCCTGACACTGCCCTCCCCACAAACCACAAAGGCAGAGCCCACAGTGAACTAACCCGTTAAAGAGTGGCCATACTGCATAAACATTCCAGCAACCCTGCAAAGGAGCCTGCTTCTGCTACCGGTGTGAATCACACAAGTCTTCCTTCCTAATTATATACATTACATCAATGATCATGGGACATTCTGTGGAAAACAGAAGCATGAGAGAGGAGAGGCAGGGGACAGAGGAAGAAAACAATAATGTAAAGAACAGAAAAGAGTATAAATACTCTGATATTTTAAGTGATATTTCATCCATGAAATAGAGGAAACAAGAATTAATAGATATTAAGATATATTAACAACTAGAATAATTGAATACCATTATTTGGCAATGCATACATATTTACATAATAACATTGGTGTAGATATTGTCTCTTTTTTTCATGATCAGAATCAACCTATAGTCAACACTTACGTCCTACTTTGATGCCAAACAAAATGCAAATACAGATTCTGACAGCATAGAAACAAGTGTGTCACTGACAGAGTGTAAAGGGAAGGGAAAAAGTGGCGGAAGGAAGTGTGGAAGCTCTAATTATATCTACATAGTCGAGAATTGATGGGCAACCTTTCTCTAAGGGTATGTCAAAAAAGTTATAATGAGAAGCAATATAGCTGATAACTAGTGTATCGCAAGAAATTGAGAGGAGTTGAGTAACAGTGCTCTAAACTGCCCATTTTCTATGAAGGGAGAGATTATGTACTTTTTAAAATTGATCAGTTCAGAAAGAGATGTAAGTGTGTTTGTTAAAACTGCAGTGGTAATTACCAGAAGAACTGAAACCAGAAATGAGTTAAGTGGTTTCTACTCAGGCTGGGATTAGAGATGAACTGGAAAAGGAGACTCACTTTTTTTTTTTGTATCCTTTTTAGGACTGTTTTAAAAACCTTATTTATGTATTGCTTTTATTAATAAGTGACAATTTTTAAAAAAATAAGCTAACCAAGATCATAGAAACTCCTGTTTTTGAAACTGTCATAATGCTGATACCAGACTCTCACAGAGAAGGAAATGATAAACTTCTAATTTCATCAACTTATAATAGTGATCCAAATAAATGTTAAAAAATACAGATTTCATAATAAATTAAAAGATTGATGTGGCACACCTGAAGAGAGTTTATTCCCAGAACATAACAATATTTCAACATTAGGAAACCAGTGACTGTATTTATATATATTAACAAATTAATTAAGGAAAAAGCCACAATCATCTCAACAGAGTAAAAATTCAATATTCTTTCCTGATCAATAGTCTTATAATAAGAAACAAATAGAAGTATACATGTTTAACATGAAAAAGTGGTTGAAACATGTTTGACAAAATTTAACTCCTTAATATGCAAAGTGCTTTTACAAAGCAACAAGAAAAAGATGTACCCAATAGAAAAATAACAGTGGGAGGCAAATCACAGAGTAAATCCACTGACCCCAAAACACTGAAAAACTGTTCAAACTTCTCTTATTTAAAGAAATATAAGTATAAACTACAATATAACAATTAAAATTTACGTTAAAAAAATTTGAAGCTATTATATTGGCAATTATTAAATGCTAATGCTCAGTATTGATGAAGCTGAAAGAAATAGGCTCTCTTGCCTAGCTGGAAGATCCATACATTGATAAAATGACTTGGGAAAGTAATATGTCAATATATTAGAAAGGATTAAAAGAGAGAAGTTCTATTTCTAGGATTCACATCTAAAGAAATCACTTGAGACAGATGCTCACAAAATAGAGCAATAGGAGAAATTATCAAATTACTGTACTTTATAGTGAAAAATAGAAATCAACCAAATGATTAACAGTGGAATAATAGTTAAACAAATTATAAGTCCATATACCAGAATATTATTCAACCATCAGAAGTGATGTTGCACATGAATACTTGTTGGTATGAAAGATGTTTATGATAAATTCAGTGATAGAAATAAACCCTGAAGCCAAAAAAAATACTATGATCTTGTTTATGTTTAAAATGATTATCTACTTATCATCCCTCTACTTACCTATCTACCCACCTACCTATCTAAAAAAGGCTGAAATAATATTTATCATGATATTAATATTAGTTACCATTGGTTGGTATTTTTTTTTCATTTTCTTCATTATATACATTGTATATTATTATTGAATATTATCATTTTTTCTTTTCACAAAATAAGAGTAAATGATATTTTAAGATGAAGATATGTACACATATTTTCTCTTTTGTGTAAAGTATGACAAAGATTTAATATTTTCTTAATAAAGTAACTCATACAAATACATTAGAAAACAAACACCGCAATAGAAAAATGGCCTGTAGATGAGTCCCAAAATAAAGACTTAAAGGAACAAGAAAACTCAAACTAGTCATTTCAAATATAAAATTAAAATGAGATAATCTTTTCCTACACCCAAATAAAAAAGGCTACTAAAAATAGAGAATTCTCTTTGACAGCTATGAGATCTCTTGTACAATGCAGAGATGGGAACAATATCTCTAGAGGATATGACAACACATAACAAAAGCCTTAATACTGTGTAGGCCATTTGGCCCAGATACTCCCTTTCTCAGAATTTCCATAAAGAGATAATTATGGACATGTGCAAATAAGGATGATCATTGTGGTATTGTTTGTAATAGTGAAAATTAGAAAAACCTCCAATGTTTAAAAATACAAAACTGACTAAATTATATATATTCATAAAGTGAGGTACTTTTCAGAAATTAAATCGGACTTTTAGAAGACTAGTTAATGACATGGAACAGTTGATAGCATATTGCAAAGTAGAAAGAAGTGTTCTTTTTCTCCATCACAATATCAGGGGACGTGTCCTTTTGCTGCCACGTACAATACCCTGACTCTTGTCATGTTTGATATTCGACCATTTAAAATGACTTGTTAGTTTCTCACTGATGCCTGTCTTGAAACTTGGTAGCAATGGTACTGTCTCTCTTCTCTCTCTGAATTTATACAACAATGGGTAAAATCTTTATTTAGAAAAGAAAACAATACTGGTAAACAATGAGTCCATGCTCCTGAGATACAGAATCTTGGGACGAACACTGAAGAAATAAGACATGATCTTCACATAACTTGAAAATGCATTTAGAACTAATGGAAAAATAAACATGGCATCTATTGACTGCTTGATTAAATTGACAATGCTAAAATGTATTTTATTTTAAAGACTTGGATAGGAAATTAATCATACAAGGGTTATAGTGTGTGCTTTGAAACTACATGCAAATACAAATCACCTCCACACAGTCATCGAGATTCAGTTGTTCCCTTAAGCCTTCCCCTGAAGTACTGCAGTGGTTGAGAGCTCAGCCTCTTTTGGTCATAAACTAGGCTGGGTTGCTGTGTGTGTCTGGGCCAGTTACACAATCTCTCTGTGCCTATTTTCCTCGCCTGAAAATGGGTATAATGATAGTAATGACATCATAGGGATGTTGTATGGTTTAAGCTGATGTATTTAGAGGTCTTGGAATATACATGGTAAGCATTCGGTAAATAAATGCTACCTGATAGTATTATTTTTATTACTACTATTACTGTAATGGAATTTCTACTTGTTATTTAGTTTTTAGTTACTTAAATATTAAATAAAGTTGAATGGATTTCATAATATTTACTTGCTTGCTCACTCACTCATTCACTCACTATGTTTTGCCTCTGAGTCTTTGATTTTTGTGCTCTGGGATCTGGAATACCACTAGAGCCTAAAAATACATAGAGAATCTGTAAGTCATGAGGAAGAGATAGGAAAGCATGGGCAGTAAATCAGCAGTGGAAAGGGAATCAGAGAAGAGCTGAACATGGCAGATGCTAGAACTGGGCTATGGAAACCTGACTCTGAGGGGCAACAAGATCCACGTAGCAGGTACTCTGCGTAACTGTCTTGACCCTGCTTTTCTGTGGGGTAGATTTTTTGATTGGCTTGACTTCCCTATCTTTCTTTTATAACAAAATTCCATCAGCTGATGAAACCTGAAGACATCTTTTGAAGTTTGCAGAGCATATATGACACACATTGTGAACCTTTTAGAGTATGCTGAGGATTGTGACATGAAAGTTCTAGACTTACGGGTGGCCTCTCCGATTTTTTTTCTTGGTGGCCTCTTGGCCTTCTGTTTTAGATTCATACAGCAACCTCATTCTTCTGGCCCTTTGGATGACTGTCTTAATTTTGGACTTACAATCATGACTTTAAAGTACCTCTCAAGGGCTCAATCCTAACGTCTGATTTCCCTATTTATGAATCAAAACTATGAAAGAGCACATCCTTACGTTGACACAGCCCAGGAAATGGGCTCTGGCCTGAAACGGGAGAAAGGTTAATTAACAGGCAGTAATAGAGTTTGAGTAATGAGCAGTTGGAGTGAAGGGAAGGGGATGTGAGCAGAATTTTTTAAAGTAAAATGGGTAGAATATGAGGGGTGAAGGAGAGGGCCAAACCAAGGGTCATTTGTATGTTTTTGTTTCGGTTGCCTGGAGGGACTGTGCAAAAGAAATGGCAGGTTTTCCAACATAGATAACGAGTTGCTGCATGAAGGCAGATTTGGGGATTTCAGGTGGGTCTTTCCAGCAGACAGCTGAAGTCTGCTTTCAAGAATTCAGACCATTTCTCCATTGCCCTCACTACCAATTAGTTTGGGTGAAAGGAAGCTGGTATTTTCTCTTCCCTGTTTATTTGCTTTTCAGGAGAGTTTGGGTTCATACTGGGTCAGGAATAAACTCACATTATTCACATTGGCCTTAGATAAAGATATATCATGTGGGCACCACAGAGAAATCTTGTGCACCAGGTATTTGAGTTCCAGAGGGTTTTTAAAAAATTGTAAAATGTAATAAGATAGGTTAACAGTCATGCAGAAAGTTGGTTCTCAACACTATGCTAATTCTGCTGCATATTGAATTTGTCTCTAGAAGGAAAAAAAATGTCAGAATGCACAGAAACATCAAGTTTGAAATAACTCGGGGCCAGAAGAACATCTTGAGAAATCACATATTATCAACTATGGTCTAAGAGATAAGTAGACTGTGGCGATAACATTAGTGGATGGCAAATGTGAAATGTGTGGCTTCCAAAGCAAATATAGAAGAAAATGGTAGTTCTTTGTTATCAGTCTATAACACTATTTGAAAAGTTTTTATTTCTGCCACAGTGTGTACTGTATATATATGAGATAAAAAGAAAAAAAAACTAAATAACCAAAAAAGGACAGTAAGTTCTATAAAGAGGAAGAAACAAAATGGAAGCAATGGAAGAGATACCGGTACAAATTTCAAAGAAAAAGGTAAACTTGTAAGACATGAAAACTTTTTTCAGAAAAAAACTTATTAAGAATAAGCAGATTAAGTTTATGCAAGTGCACACTCTGCACTTCTAAAGGGTAAACTTCTAAAGGCATAGAAGCCAAAGACAGAAATGGGAGTTTAAAAATCACAATCGGAATATAGCCTTCTTGATGGGTCATTTTATTCCTTAAAACTCCCTGTCAATAAAGTAGAACCACAACTCTGTAGAACACAAACATAAATGCGAGAAAGAAATTCAATTAAAAACTAACACCCGTCTTTGAGCTGGGAGACAATGAACGGTTTTGGGGGCTTTACCTTAATTTATTACAGGAAGATACACTACTTTCGTAATGGATGGGAATGAACTGCATTAAAAATGAAGCTCCGTATCACATTTCACATTAAAATGTAATAGAGCAGAGCCTCACTGTGCTGCCAGCTAATTCAGGAACTGAACAGGATGGCATTATTTCCCGTAGACTGTGTGGTACAAACTTTCCCCATGAGGAGTCGTCGTCTCTGGTTATCTGGCACAGTGCCCAGCCTGCCTTTCCAATCATCGACCTGGAACAGGTCAGTCTGGGCTCTGCACCGTCTTTAACAACGTGCCACTCATGTGCACCACTATTCTGTCCTCCCCGGGGTCTGTCGGGCCTCGGACGTTGGACTCCCCTGGCTCCCAGACTCTGACAGGAGACTGCAGGGTCTTCTTTGCACACCCCTGACCTCAGCCGCTGACGGTCCCCTCGGCCCGCTCACACATGCGCTCCAGAATTCGGTGAATGCTGGCGAAACTGGGTCTGTCCGCAGGCAGCTTGCTCCAGCACAGGCGCATGAGATTGTACAGCTCCAGGGGGCAATTCTGGGGGCAGGAGAGGATGTTGCCATCACGCACATAGTATATGACCTCCTCGTGGGCCATCCCATAGTAGGGCTGCAGGCCGTAGGAGAAGATCTCCCAGAGGACCACGCCGTAGGCCCACACGTCAGACTCCGTGGTGTAGCGGTTGTAGAAAATGGCCTCGGGGGGCATCCAGCGGATGGGGATCGCGTCATTCTCATTAGCTTTGTAGTAGTCAGCGGAGTAGATGTTCCTGGACAGGCCAAAGTCGGCAATTTTCACCACCATGTTCTCACCCACCAGGCAGTTCCTAGTGGCTAAATCCCGGTGGACAAACTTGCGCTCCGAGAGGTAGGCCATGCCCGCGGCCACCTGCCTGGCCATGCAGAGCTGCTCGGCGCAGGAGAGGGGTGGGGGTGCGGGGCCGGCCACCTGAGCCCCCGCTGACAGGTCGCCGTCGCTGAGGCTGCACATGCTGTGCGGGGATGCAGCGCGGAGGAATGCGTTGAGGTCACCGTAGGCCATGTACTCGAAGAGCAGGCACATGGGCTTCCCCACAGCACACACGCCTGGAACCAAAACAGTGTCCTTTGTTAGGCTGCGTGCCTACAGTGACACGCTGGCAAGAGCTCTCCAAAAGGGAATGAGCGGACAGAAAACACGGGGCCCTGGTTGTTTTGTTGACAATATCAGAGTCATACCCCGACCCTGTTTCTTTGTGTGAACATCTCCTATTTGCTGTTTAAGATTTAGCCTCTTTGTCACTCCTCCTGGGGTGCCTCAGCTGCCGACCCTTCCAGTACCGCGTTTTCTATCAGCCTTTAACGCAGCACCCACCATCCTGTCCTAACCATCCACTTATCTGAGGTTTCTCCCCGACCATTTCAGCATTTTAAGAGTAGAGATGCTGTCTTACTCCTCTTTAAACTCCACACCCCTGCCATGTATCTGGCAGAGCAAGTGCTGCATGAGTGGTTGGTGAATGAACTTACGGATGAGCATTTTTCCTCTGAGAACAAAACATAATTTTGCTCCGTGTGCTTCTGCTACTTTTCTGGAGAAGGATAACAAAATGTGCAAAATTTGGAAAGGATAGCAGAAACAACCCAAGATCTTAGATGAAGTATTCAATAGCTTGCTAGAGTAAAACATTCTGAAATTAAGGTTCTGCAGTGTTCATTCTAGAAAACGCTAATATGAGTAGAGTCTGATTCAGTACCAGCAGGACATTGCTAAATCTTAAATTCTTGCTGTATTTGAGAGGGGAAACTGGCAACTTGAAATAGTAGATCATCTGGGCACAACTTCACATCACTGTAAAAATAGATTATTAGAAACTTTTTTTTTCAGGGAAAGATTAGAGGTAACTGTTCAAAAAGGAGGAGAAATGATACTATTGTGTTGGTTTATTTAGTTTGGAGTAACTCTTTAATTCTAGGGACTTTAACAATCAGAATCTTTATATATACTAGAGAGAAAATTAAAGAATCATGACCTATTTCACTGAGAAGTTAGAAACCACTGATTTTTTTAGCTGAAGGTATTTAATGAAGTATTTCACTCTCTGGTACAGAAAATATATGGAGAGGAACAGAGATGTCTCTCTGATCAAGGAGTGAGGGATAAAGCTTAGGTGAAGTATGTAGGAGCAGAAACGTGGAAAGCCTCAGTGTTTGAATGCAGAGTTTCTTCATTTATATTTTCATACCTAAGAGTTTCACGATGTTGGGGTTATCGAATTCTGCCATGAGGGCTGCCTCCCTCTGGAAGTCTGCCTGCATGTCTGCTGAGGCTTCCTCTTTGAGCATCTTCACGGCTACCATCGTGAAAGGTTCACAGGGGAGTAAACCTGGAGCCCTGTGAGATATTTTTTTAGAAAGAAATAAAAAATCAGGAACATTTACATATACTCAAGTGATATCAACCCACCTTCACTCATATCCCTGCACTTATACAGCCTTACCCAGAATCATACAAAGAAAGATGCCCGTAATAGATCGTATGAAGAAATACTTGACTCTAGTTAATGAAAATCCCTGGGGCTATTTTCAACATCGATTGACTTTGAAAAATGCATATTTATGAATTATAGGAATTCTGAAATACATGGATCCAATGGCATATTATCCTCTTAATCTCTGGCCAGAATCTAAATTCCTAGAAAGTAGGGAACATGATATATTCATTTTTGTATCTTCAATGAGCCTAAAACCATGCCTTGTATATTTTTGATTCTCAATAAATTTTTGTGTAAGATTTTCGTTAATCATGAAACCTCCATGCCAGGGCTACCATGAGTGAAGAAAAGGTTGTGTCCTGTGTCCTACAGCCAAAGTGACAATTGGTAATTAAGACCAAGTCTTCTTTGCCTAGCTGTGTCTCTGTAACCTACAAACACACAGAGATAATATTTCACTCGTTTACACAAAGGCATTATATGGTCTAGTGTTGGTCCTCATACATGCTTCTTTATTGATCTCATAGTTTTCTGCCATTGTTGCATTATTTTTTCCCTTTTCTGTTTTGCCATTCCAGGAAGCTCTATTTAATACTTCTATATGACAGGCTCTGAATTCTTAAATAGAAACACTAGTTTGATGTAAAATTTAAATGAAGTGGAGAATAGAGCAATATAAAATGGATGAGTGTAAATTTTGGAATTATTTACTAAATACACAAAATTATTAAAATGTATGACAAAATTATTTTCTGAAAAGGAAATATGATTAAAATGCTAATTGCTTGTAATCTGAACACTACCTAAGTGGAGATTCTCTCCATAGACACAGCTCTATTTGCTGGCAGAGAGGGAACACCACTAAGATTTAGAGTAATGTACTCAATACAAATAAGGCTAAAAGTATAAAGAATTAACTAATTTGATAAAATCTACTATGCATAGTACATAGACCTCAAGGTAATGCTCTGGTAAATTTTCAGACACATTTCAATGGAGAGGTTTTTTACATAGGTAACTTTACCTTGCTTGGAAGACCCTTCCAAATGCTCCCTCTCCAATATCTCTCACGTACTCAATGTTATTCCTTGGGTACTCCAAGCTGAGCAATTTGGGATTCAGAAGGAGTGGCATCCTCTGGTACATGGGGTTGGGATGAAGTCTGTCTAGCAAGAGCTCAGAAGGAAGAGTCGTGAGGGTTACTGCTGCTGATTCTCTGCAGGTAAGACAGGTAAGATCAATAGTGAGCTCAGGATCTGGTGAGATTTCCAGAACTTAGGTTCTAGAGCAATTCAGCATTTAGGAGGAAACAAAACAAATGGTGGTCAGGCAGCCAAAGATTCTTCAGTTTTAGAGCAAGAAATATGTTGTTTGGTCTGGAGTCAAAAGGCACATTTTCTCAGGAATTTTGTCGCCATCCAACCTGGCAATGGCCATGGAGCTGAAGGGGAGGACGGGAAGCAGGACTAATCATGTTCTTCCAAATTACTCTTTAGATTCTAGGTGCTGGGAAAATTAACCTTACGACATGTGATCCTACACAAGAAGTTATTGATATTTTTAAAGATCATGGTGGAGATGCTTAATTTTAAAGTAAGGCAGTGGATACCATAAAGAGACTGGCAGTGTTATATATATTCCTCCTTCTACCCCCAATCCCAATATTAAATATGTAGGTTTTAAAACATTACTATGTGTGATTAGCTTAGACTAGAATCTCACCTTTTCTTATTTTTCCATTGTTTTCGTCTTCGGCAGCAATAAAGAGTAGTTATGGTAAGAAGCACAAATATGGCAAAGCTGGACATGATGGAGATTATTACAGTCATTGAGTACGTAGGTGAGACAGAGAAGGAGGAGGCAGAGGAGGGAGGCAGATTTGGAATGTCCGCACTTGGCTTTGAAGACGTCATTGGTGGGAATGCTGTAAGCAAACAATAATTCTTTTTGCTCATTCTTAAACTTTTAAGAAGCATTCTTTGCATTTAAGTAATCAGTAAATGAAGTTTAATTTTCAGAATATATTTTCATGTATCAATTTATCCCTGGTTATTTATCTTATAGTCCAATTGTAAGAATCCAGTGAGGTCCAGTTGGAAGTAAATGCAGTTTATAGAATCATAGAAATCTAAAGATGAGACTCAGAGGAAGCAAATATTTCTTTCCAAGACAAATGCAGATCCTGGGCTCTTTACACTGTGTCACATCATTTATGACCTGACAGAAATCGTGAAGATTATTATGCTATTAAGTAAAATAAATTTTGTGAAATTATATTTGAGGTCAAGCTTGTCTAAAGCAGAGCATTTATATACACTGTTGATTTGCACACAGAAAAAAATCATGAAAAATGAAATATGGAAATATTAGGACACAAATGAGCAGAATTTTATCTAAAAACTGAACACCTGTCAAACTCCTATTATAAAGGTCAATGCAACAAAACAGAAAAAGACTCAAAGACACAGAGGAAAGACTGGTGGTTCCCATGGGAGAGGAGTTGGGGTGGTGGTGAAATAGCTAGAGGGGATTAAGAGGCACCAAATCTTGATCATAGTATAAATAAGTCATAGGGTGAAAGTACAACAAAGAGAATATAGCCAATATCTTTGTAAAGTTTTTCTATGTTGACAGTAACTACACGTACTGGGTTGAGCATTTAATAATGTAGAGAACTGTCAAATCGCTAAGTTGTACACTTGAAACCATTATAATATTGTATATCAACCATAAGCAGAAAAGTCAATGCAGTATGAAAACATGCGAAGGTCTACATTACCCTGGAAACCAAAAGATGTTATACTCATATCAACTTTATTAGTTATATTTTAAATAATTTTAATTGAATAAAGACAAAAACATGGAAAGAAAGTATCTTAATAATATAATCAACAGGTATGTTCTAATAGCAAATAATGACCTTTGTACCCAAAAAGGAGAGAATAAACCTTATTTTCAAAGAGCTGTGGAACACTGACAGACATGATCTTTTGCCAAGCCACATAAATAAATCTCAATAAATTTCAAAAGCATAGATTATGCAGATCTATTCATTAACCAAAATGCAAGTAGCAATAGGTTAAATAAAATCCAATAGGACATCGGGAAAAGAAAAAAAATCATGACTTTTCAATCAAAAAGTAAAGAGTAGCCATAATTACATATTAGAAGATAACTTCCTAATAGTATGTATGAGATTTGGCCAAAGCTGTGCCCAATGATAAGCTCAGAGCATTATTGCTCTCCACTGGATTAAAAAAAATGAAAGTGAACCAGCTACACTTACACATTTAACTCAAAACTTTGGAAAAAAGGCAAATACTGTAGAAGACAAAGGAATATAGGTGATAAAGTAATAGCTATGAACAAGCAGAAATTAATGTTAGAACACAAATACCACAAATGATAAAATTAAAAAATAAAACAATAGTTAGCCTGATGAATATTTACAAAACAGTTTTATCAGTGGAATTTTATCTTTAAAAATATAAGAAAGGCACAAGCACCCAACATTAGGAATGATAAAGGAGTTATGACAACATATTTAAAGGTCAGTAACAATGAAGTAATATATAATTATTCAATTACATTTTTTAAAGTCTAAGGTAAATGTTAGGAACATATTAATTGCCAAATCTGAAGAATTAGAAAATCTGAATATTGCCATAACCATGACACTTAAAAGTAATTATAGAATTATGGATATATTCTTTCAGTCATGGAAGAGATAAAATGTCCATATTTTGTATGTTCCAATAAGAAAAATCTTTCAGGTTATTTTAGGAAGTTATTATAATACTAATATCACAACCAGATAATATGAACACAAAACAAAAAAAACCACATACATAGATTACAGAACATAGATTTAAAAGACTCTAAATGAAATATTAGCCATTTGACTGCAATATAGTAAAAGAATAATGGTTTAATATGAGGAGACATATAAATATGACACACCACAAAGTCAAAAGAAAACTTTCATTGCAATAGAGGCCTAAAGCCATTTTAAATAGGACACTTGTAAAAGCAGAGATTACAAGGGGTGCCTATGTATGACTTTGTAGTCTAGGAGTGGACACGGTGCTTATGCCCTGAGCCCCAGTGGCAAAGCAAGTGGTTTTCACCACTGTGACTCAAAGAACCTCAGCACAGCAGTAAAACATCCGTGCAGGACCCCTGACAGCATTTCTCATCAAGCCTCATGGCAATGGTGGGCTTAACAGACTTCCCAGATTCCTCTAGGATTGGTTTAAAAACTGCTCTGACTTTCTTTGGGCTGAGTGAGTTATCTGAAAGGGTTTTTTAGTCCATCCAAGATGGGTGAGGAGGGGGCTTTAAATTGGGAAGGTAAACTTCTTGCTAATCATAAATTTGGAGTAATCATTAAAAGACAGGGAGAAATGCCTATTTTTGTATCTGCATTTTACAGAGCAGTTCATACCATATTTCAGCATGTGAGGGAATGTAATACAATTTGTAAAACCGGTAATGTAATCCCTTTAGTAAATATAAGGGTAATTTTTAAATTAAAATATCAGAAAATAGAATTTAATGGCATAGTAACAGAATAATCCATGATGATTTACTAAGATTTTCAAAATGCAAACATTGGCATAGTTTGAACAATAACTTTGCTTTATGGATTAAATTCTTTCTTCCTTTTGGGATAGTTTTGTTTTTCCTTGTTCAATGCTTCTGAGCTATTTGCTCTGGCCTTCCCTTTATCTCCTTGGATCCAAATGATCATTTTGGATCTCCACCTTCTTTCCTTTTGATCTTTTTCTTCTCTCATCAATTTTATCTCTTTATCCTTTTCCTTTGACCATCAGGAAAGTTTTATTCACTCATTCATCCATACAATAATATGTTCATTAAATTAATATTGATTGTTAGGTACCAAGAATACTATGGTGGACACAAGTCTTTGTATTAAAGTACTGAACTGAGAAATGATTAATAAACAAATAATTAAAATAAAATGTAAAAACTGTTTCAAGAATGGTAAGCTTATGAACATTCACGGCCAGCCCAACTTCTGGTCTAGGCATACCAGGCAGGTTTTCTAGAGTCCGTGGCTTTAAGTTGAATATGAAAAGACAGTAAGCAATAACCAAAGATGTATGTGCATATCTGGAGGTGGAGAAAGGAGTGGGGTGGAGCCAGAGAGGGGAGATACTATTCCATAGGGAAGGGATGGCAAGTACTAGGGCCCAAATCAAGCTGTGGTAGTGATTTTCTGAAAGTATCTCTAAAAGTATCTTTGTTGAGTGGGGGAGTGTCTTCAGGTAAGGTTGCAGATATCAGGTCTAGGACATAAAAGATGTTGCATGCCAAGTTAAGTAATTTAGAATTTGCCCTGCAGTAAATGAAGAGCATCAGCAGAGGGTTTTAACCAGTGGAGTGGCACCACCAGCTTCTTGCTCTAGAAAGATCACCTGGCTACAGCCTGGCTTGCGTGATGACTAATTTAAAGTTTCTAACATGAAGTCTCGAATGTGGAGTCGGACAGGGATTTTCAGTAACACACTGCTGTATGAATTTCCACCGTCCAGATAATGAAGATAAAGAGAAAATCTAAAAGTTTTACCTAGACAGAGAGAACAAATTACTTACAGGAATAAATGAGCAGACTTATATCAGACTGGTCATTTCCAAAACGAGAAGCTAGAAAAGAAGAAAGTCATATCTATAGTCTGACAGGTCTCTAGAGAAAAGAAACCTCACTCAAGAATTCCTATACCTAGTTAATAGAGATCTCAACTGTCCAGGTAAAAGAAAGCTATTCTGAAGATAAGCAAGGATTCAGACTCTGTCACCATTTCCATCTGAGGAAATACACCAAGTATGAGCAGTCCCACAGAATTCAGGAATAATGAAATGCCTGCTGAGCAGACAAAGTAAATCACACAAAGATGTTACAGGCTCAAAAAGATATTTCACTTCAGCAGAAGAAGTTATTACAATGAAAACTATTAAAATTCTGGCCTGTGTGTTCAAGCAAAGAAAGAATGAATGCAAAAGATAAACTAATGACTTCAAAAAATCTTCCATCATCCTTCAAAGAGAACTGGTGAGGCCCTTTAGAGTTTACTTAGAAATCAAGAAACTCTGAAAAATGGTGGAGGGCTATCCATGGTCCCACACTGTGTCCCATGGTCAGGTGACATGATCTGTTCATGACATTTGGAGTTCATTTTCCTACATGTACCAAAGATTTCATAAATATTATTTAAGACTAGAAAATTGGTTTACTGTGGCTAATTTATGTTGCCTGCAGTTCTTTATAATCAGTGTAGAAGGCAGAAATATGGATTTTTTTTTTGTTTATGGTGTTTCTAAGAGAGGATTTAAGTCAGCACCTTCCATATGGTGAACCCTCAATGCACTCTTAAATGGATGAGTGAGCAAACGATCAAAGGATAACAAAGACCACAGTCACTAATTAAAAGTCCAATCCAGGTACATTTTGGCAGCATAAGTAAAACAAATTGAAACATTTTTTTTTCATTCCTTCAATTTGGGAATAATCATCTGACAGGCTTCCAGTATAAGAGATTTTTAGTGTTTTCCATAACTGCTCTTATTTACTAACCCTGAGCAATTCAGGTGGGACCAGTAGCATTCTTTTAAGACTTTAAGTCTTAGTCCTTTAAGTAAGCTGGTAAAATCAAGTCCTGGTACTTGGCCAAGTGTAGAGATGTTTAGGCTTAGAATCTAAATAGTAGGAGATGACTATGATTTAAGCCTTAGAACACTCAAATCGGAGGAGGGTACTTGAAATAAAAACTTTCTTAATTTCACTTTGAAGATTTCTGCATTCTGGTAGATTAAAGCACCATCTGTTACAATTTAGTTGCTAGGACATCTCTTTGCAAGCAAACTTCTTGAAAAATTAGGGATTTTGAGACAACCCCTTTTAAAACTGTTTGATTTAGCTCTGTAAACTTTATACTGGAAATAAGCTGTCTTAAAAAACACCTGTCTTCCAAAAGAATGATCTGTTGTTGTAAATGAAGATCTTGAATTGACTCAATGAAGAAATAAACATTTGTTTTCATCAATAAATTAGATGATGCAAAAATCATGAATGCAAAATCAGAAGGTGGCAGTTTCAATTTGGCTTATTTTATAGCCATAGAAGGGATAAAGCAATTTAATAACCTTGGGGTAGGAGGTATTATTTTCATCAGTCACTAAATATTGTGCTCTCCATGGCTTCATTAGAAGCTATAAACTGAGATCTACAATGATCTTCCTTCAAAATGTTCCAGCTAGGGTACATACAGTAAAAAACCTTTGAGAGGAGCCATACATTGTGTTCTGGACACCATGAAGTATGAGTGTAAATATGCATGCATGAATCCAATGACATACACATAAGGTTTCAAGGATACAAACAGAATTACTTACTTGTTAGGTTTTCTTTTTTATAATCTGAGGGGAAAAGGATAAAAATTTGTTTTAAATGAGCATCCAGATATCTCATATATTCTGTGAGAGAGTGCTAAGAAATACAAGTTCTCTTTCAGTTTTTTTAATATCAACTGGAAAACATTCTTTGCATTCAGATGCAAAAGGATTGTATCTTTGAAATTAAACCAGCTGTTAGGGCTAACAGCAAGTTCCTACAAATGAAGTTCATTAAAGCAACATGCAGCCATTCAGCTTTATTTTGTGAGATCAGCACTTTCCACCACGTGGCTTGGTTTTGCATGCATAGGAATCTGCTTCATTGGCTAAGAAGAGGACTTTATTCCTTTATTCCACTCATCCGACAAAATACGAGGTGTTTCTTAGCCATTTCTCTGCACATTCCAGAAAATGTTACAAGCTCTCATAAGACCCCTTTAGGAAATAAGTTTAGACCTTGAGCAGCAGGTTAAAATGCTCTTTAATTTCTTTCAGAACATGAAATAAGTCCTTGAGTTAACCTGTGCAGTTAGGATAGCAGTAGGATTGTTATTAGGTATCTAAGGAGGGCAGAACTCAAAAAATAAAATAAAGAGACAAGAAATACCTGGAGATATTAGGAGATTTTAAATTCACACCTTAGTTTCTTCAAAATAGTAAATTTCTTTTAACCTCCAAAGTCTTGAGAGAACTGTGTTACCTAAATATGGCAGTCTGGTACAGGCCATGGGGCCCCAGTGCATGCTGGGGAGCTTGTGACATTCCAGCAAGGAGAGTAGATGCATCCCAGATCTGTAGAGTTCTCTGTGGGTCTTTTCTTCCATCGCCAGCCATTCTTTCGCACAGAAGAGCTCCTTGACTGCAAGGCAGTATTCTCTAAAGTATTTTATGGAGAACAAAGCTTCATGAATCATAGCATGTGAAAGCCAAATTTGTGGCAGATCCTAAATTCTGCATTTTCAAAACATCATCATAGTTTATTGTCTGTTCTGCCAAAGAGTTTTTTGACAGGCCCCTTTCATTGTAAGTAATGTGAGACTTTATGAAGTACAGTATAATATCCTGGGAGATGAAGTGCTGTCTTGTTCTGTTTCTAAAACATAATTAATGCTGCTGTGGGAAAGAGCTTTCAAGTTCAAAAGGTAGTAGTTTAGGAATCCCTAGGACGTCTTCTCTCAACTTTGAGTTAAAATAAATACAAAAGCACAGAAACTAAGTATACAGCGTTAAAAAAACAAAACACTCAATTAAGGTTGTGCATCACTATCAATCATTTTCTAGCCTGAGAGATTTCCCTATAATCTCAGGGTTCAGGGGCAAGGCCTGTGGGACACAGTGCCTTGCTTTGTCCTCTGGAAGAGCAGTACCACCTTCTTGGCAGGTTACAAGAGGGCATCTTGTCCTTACCCAGACCTCACCTGGGAGAAGCTGGCTCCTGTCCCATTGCTGTTTATGCTTCCAACTGAGAAAGACAGAGTCATGTCTATTGGACTATGAGCTGTTATGTTCATCTGTATGTTTTCCTATGTGTGAGAAGGCTGAAGAAGGGACTCAATGGACTACTTAGAGTTTTCTGGGTTAATATTTGTTCAAGTTGATCCTGTAGAAAATAGGATAGACTACATAGGAGAAACCTGGTTAACTCTGCATTAAGATATTTGGGATTAATAATAAAAGGAAATTAAAGATAATTAAAGAAATTTAAGAAAATAGCAATGCCATTCTTTCAATATCTGAAGGATTCAGAGAGGAGGACATTGTATATATGTGTATACATGCATATACTTATGCCACAATGGTGTTTTTTAATGCTTATGCTTCTACTGTTGCTTTCCCAGGCAACCACTTGCCAATATGGGCCAAGTGGACATGTGTAGATTGAAAAAGCTATGCACATGAACTAATGGGATACAACGGAAGTCATGAGAACAGTAGGACTTAACAATTCTTGATATGTCTATCAGAAAAGGAGGAGTAATGGGGCTTTCAAAACTTCTGAGAAGTGCAGAACTGGAGGAGCCACGCTTAGTTGGTCCCACCCTTAGGTCACATGAACACAACTTCCTGCTTCAGGCAGCACAAATCGTGTTCTGCAAAAATCAATATGGGACAGATGAAAAAAACTCTGTAGCCCACATTATGTGAAAGAAGCAAAATACCTGGGAATGTTATTTCTTATTCTAAGTGGAAGAACACATTAGACAATTTATTTTTTTGCTTTATGTTCACTGACATGCATTAAAGCATGACCTCTATAGAAAAGGACAAACATTATTTTCACAAGGAAGAAAATCAAGATGAAATGCAAATAGACTGAAAACTAGGTTAACCTGAACATGGTAATAACTGAAAAAAATAAAGACCAAAAGGAGGGAAACTGACATTGACAGACTTAAAATTTTCATTGAAAACAGGAAAGAAAGAACATTGTAAGAAATGGAATAAATAATAGAAGAAAATTGTAGAAGTACTAACTGAGGGCAGAGAAAAAGAATGAAAGGGGAAAAAGATGTGTGAGGCAATCACTGAGATGGGGAAGCAAGCAAGAAATCCAAAGGACAATTCCAGCTGACCCTCGAACCACATGAGGGTTAGGGGTGCCAACCCTGCTGTGGCCAAAAATCCATGTACAGCTTTGACTCTCCAAAAGCTTAACTACTAATAGTTATGATAGCCACTATTGTTGATTTTATGGTAGCAAATGGTTTTATGGTAGCCAATTTTATGTATTCACAACATACCTAACCTTTTCTTAATTATTTTGGTTATTTCTAGGCCATGCAATTCACCTGCACATGTTTCCTTGTCACAAATTTCCAAAAAAGATTTCAAGATTATTTATTGAAAAACCTATATAAGTAGACCCCAGGCAGTTCAAACCTGTGTTGTTCAAGGGTCAACCGTAATGGTTCCCAACAAGAAAACTAGAGACAGACAAAATAGAAAATACTCAGATAGGCTACAAGAAAACATTCTTAAGATAAATAAAGTACATAAACCTGATGATTAGAGTATATTACCCATTATATTTATATTTTTATGAGAAATAAATAATGAAAATAACTACCCCCAGATGAATTTTACAAATTGAAGAAATAATCTTCCTATCATCTGGCAAGAGACAACTTTTCCCTTCAAATGAACAAAATTAAGGATCACCTTATATATTCTTCATTACAACAGCCAAAAAACAACTGATCAGAGCCTATAGAATTTTGAGGAAAATTGAATGTAATACTAGTAACCAGTCAAACATACACACACACACACATATATTTATATTACAAAAAAATATTTTAATCATCTAAAAAATCACCTACTCCAGTGGCATAAGAGATGAATCAAAATCGAGAACTTAAGAAAAAAAAAGATTTTCTATAAAAGGAATGACAGTGGGCGTCAGGGATAAAAAAATAGAGCTCCTACAGGTATTTGTATATATGATTATGTCATCAAATGTAAAAGCTAAAAATAATGGTCCAAAAATTTAGCATATGCAAATCAAACATAATAAATAATGCTAATCTGGTTTATAATTCCAGATAAAATTTCAAGGAGCAAGTGTGGGGTATTCAGTAAAGTTACGCTAACCTAATCAGGCTTACCCTCAACACCCTGCTTTTGGAAACACAACTTTCTCCCCAAACTTTGGCCCTACTATCTCTTACCCTGGTGCTCATTTTTTTTCTCTCTTGTGACACTTAACACTATGTGAGGTAATATATGTTATTTATTTATTTATTTTGTCTCTTTCTCATTGTCTTCTCCTGATGGACTTTAAGTACCATGAAAAAATGTCCTAGAATAGTGTTTGGAGCCCAGTAGGACCTCAGTAAATACTTGTTGAATGAATGAAATGCATTGTCATTCATGGAAGGAGGCACAAATTATTGAATGACTGTTTATGATAAAACACTATGAGCAACAGTTTGTTTTCAAAAAAAATCTCACATAAGAACTAGAAGTAGAATGCAAAATAGTTGAAGGCCTTGGAAGCACTTTGAAGGATAAAGGCAAACAAAACTATTATAAAAGATGTAATAAGAAGAAAGACATAACAGAAAAGCAAGGAAACAAAGAATGAGAACATTTGAAGAACAAATTTACTAGTTATTAACAGTAAGCCCTATTCTAGTTCAAATGTTATTGGTATGAAAAGCAGAAGTTGCCAGAATTGAAAGGAAACATTCTTAGAATAAACAATTCTTGTGAAAAGTATGTAATCAGTACATTACTACTGGAACATTGAATCAAATAGACCAGACTCACTTAAGACAGTTTAATTACTGATGATACTAATATCTACAGAATATAGAATGCTGTACCTTAAAAGCAGAGATTAAGTTTTTAAGTGTGTTTTTTACAGTTATTAATTATATATCAGCTTAAAGAAAGCCTCAATAAAATATAAAAATGAAAACATTTTAGACTATACTTTCAGACCCCAATGGAACAAAATGTTTAACTATAAGGATTTAAAAAAATAGAAACAATTTTCAGATAAAAAATATGCAAGTGATAAGTGGAATTAGGAAAAAATAAAGTACACTACAAATGACTTACAAATCTGGGATTTGAAATCTCAATGACAGGTATTTTTTTCTGATAAAAAACAAAATGTTAACTTATTTTCAATCTTAAGAACATCTATGGCCCATGCATGATGGACATAAATGTTGGAAAGTTAATATATTCATTTTGTGCTAGCCTACAAAGATCATATTCACTTTTAATTCTGATTGTCCTTAGAGAGGTACTTAGATGTCATGTCTGATGAAAATATAAGTTTCTTAGATGAAGGAACAACAAAGTATATTACTCTTACAGTGTCTTCAAATCCTCAGGATTTGCAGTAAGTTCAGTAATAGAGCATTCTAGTTTAATGACCTCACTGTAGTCCTCTTATGCTAAATAGAGTGCCCTAAAATTATTTCAATATTTAAATAGTTCATGGTTTTATCAAAGCAGAGGTGTAAATGTGCTGTGTTGGTGGTTTTGTGTTTTTTTTCAAAAGAAAACATTTTCTATCTAGTTTTTAATATATACAGTGGGTGCAATTTATTTTTCAATCCTTTCACCTCTATTTTGCTGTTGAGGAAACTGAAGTTTAGCTAAGATCACATACATCTCAAAAGAAGTACAAATAGTAACTGAACTTTGTCATATTTGGCTTAGGAGCCAGATTGGTTCCTGTCTTTTCTATATAAGAAGTAAATAAAGGCAAAGATAATTCTATTGAACATGGATTTATGATTTCAATGTTTACAGAATATGGGGATTTTAAAGAACTAGCTATTTATTATTTATACCCTCCCCTCCAAGAACATGAGACAAAGAGTGTTAGCACTTAAATTGGAATGTCAGGTAGAATGTATTTCAAAATAATGTACATTTAAAATAATAATTCTGAAATGCTCACCGTAAGCTCATATTTATTGGCAAATACTGCTGAGCCACCAAAACTGTAGCTTCATTTTCTTTTCTCTATCTTGGGTTACTAATGAGGTCCTTGTTAGTTTAGGATTTCGTGTTTACTTCACAGAATGCAGGGATATTTGTGAATAAGATAATAATGGGAACAATAACAAAAGTAACAGAATATTTTACCTTTCCAGAAACTTAGAGCACTTGAATTATAGGGTGTTACCAGTGATTTACATGGGAGGAATTCGTCCCTTGAATACTATTCCTGCTTGCAGACAGACAGACAGACAGACAAATGAATGCTCCCATTTATTTGTTTTAAAATTTTACCTGCAAATGGGTGTAGAACTAGGTACTACTCCAGGGTTGCATTCCTGGAAGATGTGATTGCACAGCAAAGCTTCAGCAGCTGGCCGGCAGAATGGGCTCACTGCCTTCAGTTCATTCCAGGCCGTGTGGACCAGTAGTTCTTGGGCCTCCTCAGGATCTGCGTAGGAGTTGTTGAAGAAAACAAGAGCATCTTTTGCCAGGACAGCATTACACACTTCCCCTCTGTACTGGGCACAGTAGCCTTTGTTCTCTTTCTGTGATTTGCTGAAAGAGGCAATGAACAATGTTCCCCATCATATGCTATTCACATTTGGTGTGATACCTTTTTTTCCCCTGTTTCCACGGAAACAGGAGAAGACTGTACTAGCCAGTTCATCAAAATATTCCATCTGAATACTGTTTTCATTTCTAGCTGTCATTATGTCAACTCAAGAGGGCTATTACGAGAATCAAATGAGATAACGGATGTGGAAAGTTTTAGGAACTATCAGAGATAATAGATTTGAGCTTTTTTAAATTATTTATATTATAAATAGAATTTAACTAGTCTTGGTTAAGCTGCCTCTCATGCATCTTACAAATGAATTAATTTAAGCAAATAAATAATTCTGAAAAATATACTCTTCATGATAATTATCAAATGCTTAAGCTTAATAATCACTCTAATCCAGCTTTACGAACATAGTTTCAAATTCTCTCACTTGCACATCTTCCCAGCATTCCGTTAAAGAATAAAAAGCCAGCCACACAGGGAGGGGAAAGCTCTCAGAGGAGCTAAGGTGTATCTTCAGCTTCATTATTTTCTCATCGCATGTCTTGGGGAAATTTGTCTGCTCACTTAGAGGCCCAATGCCCTGATCTGTGGAGTGATATAAGTAATTATCTTGAACTCATATTACTGTGTGTTAATGGATAACATATGTGGAAAAACTGTAAATTCTATAGTGCTAACACAAAAATAAGATTGAAAGCTTACCTACTATAGTAACTAAAGATGCCAATAGAGAGAATGGGAAGCTTATACTACTGGAACCCTCTCCACATACCCCCTGTCTCCTTAGTGGAATGCTGGGAATCATCATAATAACTCCTATACTCACTCGGCAAATATTTACTGAGTGCTTATTATGGGTAGGCACTGTGATGGTCTCAGCATATCTTTATGCGACATTGTTAGCAATGTACAATCAGATCTACATTGTTAGCAATGATAGAAAACTCCTAAGTTGTATTCTCTAAGATTTGTACAACTGCTGGAATTTGGTATTTCCTTATTTTTATACAAAGAATTTTTAAGATAAGAAAATTAAATTGGACTTTGTGGGAAGATTTTAAATTAAGAGGCTCCCTTTGAATTTGAAATATTTGTACTTTAATTCAAAACCGTCATTGACTAGTCTTTAAAGCCAATCTATTAAATGAGATACAACTCAGGTAAATCAATGGACTTCCAATAAATACTACACTTTAAAAACAATGTTTTGTAATATAGGATCTTCCTCTAATTCATATTAGTCCTTTACTAACTAGCCAACATGAATTTTGTTGCATTACTTGTAGTTCATTGGGTATTTAAATAATGAAGTCCTTGAATAAGGAAATACAAAACTCCCATGAAAACTTATACCAAGTTAAGGCTGAGAAAACACCCAGAAATAGCTCATGATACAGCCTCTCAGGGAAGGGGTCTATGACAACACTGAGGAAGTTCAAGAGAAGCAAGGATACCATGCTTTAAGAAAATGAACAGTAATACCCAATAACCAAACATACCTCAAATTGGTTTATAAAACAGTCCCACATAATAATATCTTAGTAAAAAGAAAAGATGGATAAAGCCAATGTAACTTTCCACTTAACAGAAAAAAATTGTATATGTAAAAGTTAAATAGCCCCCTGAGTGTCTTTGAGTTGAGCATTACTCATCCAGGTTCTGCTGGTAACATGGTAACTATTGAATGACCCTATTCTTTATTTTTCTGTAAGTACTTTCTAAATGAAAATAAATTCATGATATTTCCTTCACTTACACAAGCAAAAAACATTTTTTTAGAAAACATTTGAAACCAAGAAAAAGTACACAAAAGAAAAATTAATGAAAATAACCTCAGAGATAAGAATTATTGATGATCAATAATCAATCTCTCTCTCTCTCTGCATTTCTGCTGTCTCTCTTAATAAAAGCCCTAGAAAAATCTTTGGAATAACACCAGTTGGTGTCATAATATTGAGTCCTTATTTATTTTTGATCGTTAGCTACATAATGCAAAAGAAAACATAAACAACAACAAAAAAAGCAAAATATAAATAGCAGTGAAATCTTGGTTGTAATTTTGGGTTTTTCTTCCTACTAGCCTGTGAAAACACTGCATGCTGGGAAAAAAACATAAAATAAGAAATAAATGATTCTTTTATGTACAGAGATTAACTGTATTCCAGATACAAAGAAAGAGAGAGAGAGAGAGAATGAGAGGTGCACCAGCCACCGCTTCAGAGCTTCCACAACTTCCTTTCCCTTTTCCTCTCTTCTTTTGCAGACCTATGAATCTCCAATTTTATGCAGTGGTCAAATTTTAGAGGCGACACACAGTGGCACAATGGGTCATTTTGTCCCTCAACCTCTTAACTCTCTCACTTGAAAAACATTTAAAAGGAGCTCACAGCAAAAACTGGGGAACAAGGTGAATGCAAAGAATTTCCACTGGTGTCTTCCGCTCTCTTTTCCAAGTGAGGAGACCCGCCCTGTTCGACTGAAGTTGTGTTTCTCTGCTCAGGATTCTTGGGACTGCACACGGAACAGCACCAGGAGCAGCTGGTCCTGTTGCTCGTTTGAACAGTGGGGCAGAGGTCACGGGGCTCCATTCACAGAATGTTGGTTATTTTGGAATGATCTGCTGGCCTATTTCCAAAAATGCTAGTTAATAATGCACATGGAGCCAGTCTCTCTCTTGCCTCCTGACAAACGAAACCTGCCTGACTTCTCTTCCTGTAAAGTTTCTTTATTAGAGGCAGAGATGGATATTGATCCCAAATTCCCCCTTCAACTTCCTCTTTACCAGACCACTCTCCTTGGTCAAATGAAATATTTAAAAGATTCTCACTACATCTTTTACTCGATTTCTCTCTGTTTCAGCAGGTATGAATCACAGCCAGTAGAATATTTTAAAATACCATCTTGCAGTTTCTGTGATGGAGACCTCTTCTCCCTCTGAACACATAGCGTTTTGTCCAAGTCCGTAGCCAGATGGCCAGACAACCAGACAACCAGTTGAAACTAGTCTGGGTTCAGACAACCCTATCACGCCAGTGGAAACGCCACACCTTTTCCCACCCTCCCTAGTGGTGGCACCCCCGATCGCTGCTGGTTTTATCTGAAGTTTTGTTTTCTGCAGTTTCAGTTGCCAGGGGTCACCTGTGGACCAGAAGCAGATGATCCTTCTGGCGAATCATCAGAAGGTCAGTAGTAGCCTAACTCTACATTAAGATGCTGTGCCATTCGCCTCACTTCATCTCATCCCACAGGCATATTATCATCTCACATCATGACAAGAAGGGTGAGTACAGACAATAAGAGATTTTGAGAGAGAGAGCACATTCACACAACTTTTATTATGGTATGTTGTTATAATTATTCTATTTTGTTATTGTTGTTCATCCCTTACTGTACCTAATTTACAAATTAAACTTATCTTAGGTATGTATATACGTATAGACAAAAACAGTATATATATAATATCTGGTGCTATCCAGGTTTCAGGCATCCACTGGGGGTCCTGGAATGTATTTCCCATGGATAAGAGGGGACTACTGTATAGACAGATCTTTCCTGATACAGCAACTGCCTGGTTTCCATCCCATTTTGCCAACAAGTGTGATGACAGGGTCCTATGCCATTTCCAATCGCCAAAGCAAACTGGGTTGTTTTTACTCTCTCGGGCCCAGTGTCTTAGTGTACGATGCATTCTCCAAGGCCGGGGTCAGCAAATACGAGGTCAGATTCATCCTGCTGCCTGTTTATGTTGTCCATGGGCTAGAATGGTGTTTACATTTTTAAATGATTGAAAAAAATAAGTGAACACTTATGAAACTCAAATTTCAGCATCCATAAGGAAAGTTTCATTGGAACAGAGCCATTTACAATTTCCTATGTCTGCTTTTGCCAAATGCAGAGTTGAGCAGTTGCAACAGGGACTCTACAGCTCCCAAAGCCAAATATATTTAATATCTGGCCCTTTACAAAAAAAGTTTGCCAACCTTGGCTCTAGGTCATAGGTCAAATGTCATTTTTCTGAAATGCCAAACCCAGTGTCCTCAAGCAGAAGGACATGGCATTCTCTGAAAAATACCTGTTATGTTTCTTCTGACTAAGATGAACACCTATTGATTGTGAAAAAACAGTGATGTAAAGACAAAATCAAAAATTTTTTAAACATTTGGAAATTTTAGTCAAATATATAAATACTTTATATATTTTATATATTTGTACATGTATCTATTATACTCAACATATGCATAAGTATAATATACAGTAATATATAGTATATATACATAGTATATAACTATACATACAGTATAATTAGAATTATCCTGTAAATATACTTTTATATCCCATAGTTTCACTTAGAACAATAATAGAAACATTTGCCTATGCCATTATATTTGTCAAAAATGGTTTTTAATCACATCACTTCCCTTATCAGGTAGATATTGACGTTGCTCATATATTTCTCTAATAAATATAAGGTTGTTTTGTATTTTGTTGTTCATACACTTATTTCCTTGACATAAATTCCTGAAAGTGGATTCATACAAACAATAGATACAAGGTTTTAAATGAAAATTGTCAAACGCTCTCTAGAAAGGTTATAGCTATTTCCTTTCTTCCAGCAGTGTTTGAGTGCTTGTGAAAAATGGTATGGAATTTTTCCCTAATTAGCATTTATTTGACCACTACAGAGGTGAAAATTTTTCATTTGCACTTACTTGTATGTGAATGATCTATTTCTGACTCTGAGCCCTTGGAATTTGTACATGCTTCCATATTATGTTATCTTGTAATTAATCTTTGTGTGTGTGTGTGTGTGTGTCCCCTAGAAAAATGTAAATTCCTTGGGGGCAAGGAATATGTACAAATTGTTTTGTTTCTCTACTTTCTAATATCATGCCAAGGATAGAGTGAATAGTTTAAAAATGCATAGGGAGGACAGGAGTGCTGAATGGTGCATGAATGAAAGATGACACCTCTTCTGTTGGTGGCCTGCATTTTAATTTAACTGTTACCACATTTGTGTCCCATATGCCTTCAGGAGATAATCAGATCATCACTGTTGAGCCCTTAAGGGTTAGAACTCTGTGACTCGGGACTATGTTAAGTAAGTGAACGCATTAAAACTATGTGAACTGCGACAAGATTAAGAACTAGGCAAATTTTCTTATGCATTGAATTATTTCATTCCATGGAGTTAGAATCAATGCGTGGGGTTCTAGGTCCTGCTCAGTTACTGTGCTGTGGGTCAGTGTAGTAGTTCCCAATCTAAGTTCTTAAGTCTGTCTACCTGAGATCAAATTGAAGCTTTGTAGTTTGTTAGTCATGTGGCAGATGTTCCTCCTACAGAAAAAAATATGGATAATAATCATTCTTCCCCCATAAAGTCACTGAAGTTAAATATGAGAAAAATGGTGATTATAAATGTACCAGAAAACTTAGCTGCTGTTATCATTATTACTATTGTTAATTATCCATTCTGAATCTGTTTCATTATTTGTAATATAAGATAAAAATAGTTATCAAAATTCATAGATTTTATAAAAGTCAATTTTGCTACAAATAAAACACTGGAAATTGTAAAGTGCTGTATTACAAGTGATACTTACATACAGGATAAAGCTATGAGGGAGAATTTGGTAGTCAGTTCTGAGTTCCATTTCCAAGCCTATCATTAACTAGCTGTGTAAGTCACTGGAACTCTTCAGTTCAAAGAAACTCTGGTTTCTTTTCTACATAATAGGGATATTAATAATACCTATTTCATACGAATGTCCCAAGGATAAGTATAAGTAACGTATGTAAAGTTCTCAGCACAGTGGCTGAGATACCACAAGTATTCACCAGATGTTGCTTATCTTCATCCTCATCATCTTATAACAGTTGGGTTTCTAGGTCCTGAACTAGTAAGAGGTTTTGAAATTAGTTTCTGAAAGATTACAATGTTCAGCAAACAGACAATAAACAGCATGTCAAAAACAAACAACAAAATAAAACATTGATAGAATAACAATATCTTACCTCCATTCTATTAACAGGAAAGGAAGTTCGCACAGGAAATCACATTAAAAAGGAAAAGAAACAGTTAGTACATTTTTCATCTTATGTTTTGCAAGCTTTGATACCTATAATCTCTAAAAGAAAAGTTCTGAAAAGTTCTCTCCTTCTGCTAGGAGGCCAGATATTGCATGAACAGGCAGCCTTAGAGAAGGAGATGAAGAAAATATTGAGGGTCTCCAGGAACTGAAATCTTTTCAAGCTGAGGTAACCATGGGCATCATTAAGGCCCAGGCAATGTTTTAGCTCCAAATTTCCCTCTGTTGGTCACCATGTGGCTTTGTATCAAGAAGGCAAGATGTGGGGGTTAGCAGGAGAGGTGAGATGTGGGAGGGGTGGGGGAGAGACTAGTGAGTTGAACAATCCCTCAGACCCACTGGCTTCATAGCCTTGTGACCTGTGGGGCAGCACAGGGTCCTGTGCTCAGAAGGGCCCTGGGCTTAGTTTACTGAGTGGCTGTCACCATCTTGAAATGCTCAGTAGTTTTGTAACAAGGGTCTCTGCATTTTTTTGCACTGGGCTCCGTGGATTATGCCCCTGGAGGTGAAATTTCAGGGCACTGCAGGGACCACGCCTCTCAGTGAGTTATGGGGCTCCCAGTGTGCATGGTCTCGACTTGGACTCTCCCAAGGCACGAGGGCCCTTGGGAGGGTGTAATGTGACCAACATTTCTGAATGATTCCATCTTTTTTATATAGCAAATGTAAAACCCCACACTCTTTACCAAGCACTGTGTGGTTTACTCCCTCATGTCCCCCCAGCTCCCATCATTAAAGTGAGAAGTAAAACCTAGGCTTTGTCTCAAACCAATTTACCTTATGCAAATTGCTCTCACTACCACGTTCTAACTCCCACTGAAGGTTTTAGGTCCATTTGGGTGTTACTCTCTTGACATTTTAAGGGTTCTATAATGAATTACTCCTAGAAGTCAATCTGTTTGAAAAACCTCATAAGCTCAGGGTACAAATTTAAAATCCTTTTCTTTTACATCTGTGGGTGTGTGACTATGAGGCTTTTGTAACCTTGAGCGTGTGGCTTTTTTGTCTATGTGGACTTCTTGTTCTGTGAGCCTGAAAGATGAGGCTTAGAAACCAACCTACAGCAGGCACCTGCATGACCCGAACCTCATGGCACTTCTGCCACTGTGCAGAGAAGACAGACGGAAAATGACAGCAGGAAAGTCTTCCAGAGAAAGTGGTATATAATTTGGAGGGTAAAAGCAGATTCTAATAGCAGCTGAGCAGGAAAATCTGTGGAAACGTGAGGAGCCTAAGGTTACATATATGAAAGAACCTTCAATTTAAGATGGAAAAGGCAGATTCAATCCCATGGAGATGCGCTAGTGTCAAAGAGAATCCAGCCGTAGTCCTTGGCAGGAGATGGTAACCCAGGTTTCTATTTCAGGGACAAGTAAGGAAAGGAGAATGAAATCAAGTTAAAGATGCTTGGTTGTCTCAAGAATATTGAGAGAATCAGATGGCGCTCTTATTCATTAGGCTTCCATGTGTTTCTTACAGAAATGTTTCCAATCATGTTTTCTTTTTAGAGGAGGGTAGGTAGCCAGGAAGGGGTCCAAGAACTTTGCAATTATAAGCAAGTACTTTTATCTTGAAACTGGAATTTTTCAAGTTCCAGAAATTCCCAACAGTCATCAATATGGGTAGTACCTATAAGATTATCTGGAAAACGTCTTTCTATGTCAGTAAAACTGGCTCTGTGCTGAAACATATAGAGACTCTAATATGAGAAAGCTGCCTGGTTGAAAAAGGTTGTTTGCCTCTTACACCTGAGTGCAGAACAGGTTTGTAAAAATTTAGTGTGGCTACTGGCTGTTACTCATTTATTCTTTTCCGTCTTATTAAAAACAAAACAAACACCCTCAATCAGTTTTAAACCAGATAAAAGCACTATGAAATGGCAAGGGACAGTGCCTATTTAGTTGAAAAGAACACTCTCTACCTTACGTGGCTGAGTGGTACCACCACTGAGTGGTAAAGGGGGTTGTGTGCACCTGCTACATCCCCACATGGCTCATAACTGGGAAGAACAGTGAGCAGACGTGGGAGTGTGACCATCATCCGTGAGCGAGAGCATGAAGCATGGTAGTACCTTCAATTAGTTACATCAGTTATGAAATATAATTCAAAGTTCTATGTTTGTTTGTTTTTTTAGTAGTGTGAAATACCAACCCTTAAAATATACAAAATAAAAATATGTGCTCTATCTGGGGGGTGGGGAACTCCAGTACCACCTCATCAGATTTCTCCCTACTGCCCATTTTGGGTTATGCTATATATATGTATTTGAGTTTTAGCTTTAGTGACCGGAAGTCTCAGACCTTGAGGTGAATTTAGAGAAGGTACATTGCATTATGGGGGGATGTTGGTAGAATGACAGTGGCTTAAGTTAGAGGAGAGGTGTGCAACAGACTCATTCCTGTCCGCTCAGACTGGATAAGCGTAGACAGAACTTCAGACCCTAGTTTCTCATGAAGGACCTATTAATGCCACTGAAAATGGGAAATACAAACATCTATTTTCTCTACTGAATCCTTCTATTTTTTTCCCCCAGCTTTTTTGAGATATAATTGACATAAAACATTGTACAAGTTTAAGGTGTAAGACGCATGGATTTGCTACAGTTATATAATGCAAAATGATTACCACCATAACATTAGCTAATACCTCCATCATGTCACATTATTACCACCTCTTTTTTGTGGTAAGAACATTTAAGATCTATTCTCTTAGCAATTTACAAGTATGTAATAGAGTATTATTGACTATAATCACTGTGATGTATATTAGATCCCCAGAACTTCTTCATCGTAAAATGGAAGTTTGACCTTTGACTAACATCTCTTCATTTACCCTGCCCTCCGCCCCTGGTAACCACCACTGTTTCTATGAGTTAGACCTTTTCAGATTCCACATACAAGTGATAGAATACAGTATTTGTCTTTGTCTGACTTACTCCACTTAAAACAATGTCTTCAAGTTTCATCCATGTTGTTGCAAATGGTTCAATTTCCTTCTTTATCATGGCCAAATAGTATTCTGGTTTGTGTATGCACAGACACATACACACTAAATCTTCTTTATCCATTTGTCTATTGATAGAGACTTAAGTTGTGTCCATATCTTGGCTATTGTGAATAATACTGCAGTAAACACCAGGGTGTAGATATCTCTTCAATATCCTGTTTTCATTTCCTTTGCATATGTAACCAGAAGTGGGATTGATAGATCACATGGTAGTGCTATTTTTAATTTCTTGAGGTACTTCCATACTAGCTTCCCTAGTAGCTGAACCAATTTACATTCCCACCAATAAGACAGACACAAGGGTTCCCTTTTCTCCATATCTTCACCAATACTTCTCTTTTTGGTGATAGTTATTCTGACAGGTATGAGGTGATATCTCATTGTGGTTTTGATTTGCAGTCACCTGATGATGAGCATCTTTTCATGTACCTGTTGACCATTTGTATGTATTCTTTGGAAATATGTTTATTCAGGTCCTTTGCCCATTTTGTAACTGGATTGTTTTTTGTTTTTGTTTTTTTTCTAGTGAGTTGTATGAGTTCCTTGTATATTTTGGATATTAAACCCTTATCAGGATATGATTTGCAAATATTTTCTTGCATTCCATTGGTTGCCTTTTCATTTTATTAATGATTTCCTTTGCCATGCAGAAGCTTTTTGTTTTGATGTAGTCCCACTTGTTTTTTTTTTTGTTGTTGTTGTTATTGCTGTTGTTTTTACTTCTATTGCTTGTGTTTTTAGTGTTATATTTAAAAATCATCATCAAGTCAAGGAGCTTATTGCCTCTGTTTTCTTCTAGAAGTTTGGTTTCAGGTATTATTACCAAATCTTTAATCCATCTCAAGTTATTTTCTGTGAGTAATGTAACATGAGTGTCTAGTTTTATACTTTTGCATGTATTATCCAGTTTTCTCAACACCATTTATTGAAGAGACTGTCCTTTACCATTGTATATTCTTGGCCCTTTTGTTGTAAATTAATTGACCATGTATGTATGCATTTATTTCTGAGCTTCTGACTCAGTTCCATTGGTTTATGTGTTTGTTTTTATGCTAATTACATACTTTTTTTATTACTAAAGCTTTGAAATATAGTTTGAAATAAGGAAGTGTGATGCCCCAGCCTTGTTCTTTTTTCTCAGGATTCCTTTGGCTATTTGGGATCTTTTGTGGTTCTATACAAATTTTAGGATTATTCTGTTTCTGTGAAAAATGCCATGGGAATTTTTATAGGGATCACATTGAATCTGTAGATTGCTTTGGGTGGTATGAACATTTTAACAATATTAATTCTTCGAATCCATGAACACAGGATTTTTCTCATTGCTTGTGTTTTCTTCAATTTCTTTCATCAAAGTCTTACAGTTTTCTCTGTACAGATCTCTCACTTTCATTGTTAAATTTATTCCTAAGTATTTTATTGTTTTGGATGCTGCTGCAAATGGGATAGTTTTCTTCATTTCTTGTTCAGATGTTTTGTTGTTAGTGTATAAAAGCACAACTGATTTCTGCATGTTGATTTTATATGCTGTGATTTTACTGAATTTGTTAATTAGTTTGAACATTTTTTTGGTGAAGTCAAGGATTTTCTATATAGAAGATCATGTCATCTGCAAAGACAGCTTCTTCATTTCCAGTTTAGATGTCTCATTTCTTTTGATTGCCTTATTGCTCTGGCTAGGACTTCTAGTATTATATTGAATAGGAGTGCTGAAAGTGGGCACCCTTGTCTTGTTCCTTAACTTTGAGGAAATACTATCAACTTCTCATGGTTAAGTATGATATTGGCTATGGATTTGTCATATATGGCCCTTACTGTGTTGAAGTATGTTTCTTCTATACCCAATTTATTGAGCATTTTTTATCACGAAAGGATATTATAATTTTCAAGTGCTTTTATGCATCTTTTGGGATGATCATATGATTTT